CCTCATGGGCTGCAATAAACATGCTTGCAGGACCAAGGGATTCTTCACAATGGGCTTTTGGGGGCATGGAGGGCACCAGGTTTTTAATGACATAGCTAACTACCTACCATAAGCATCTAAACCAAGGCAGAAACGAGGATTATAGATGTGATTCCCTGGATGGCACCAAAATTGGTTGGGTCCCATATTGTGATTTTGTAATTACTCTGTTCCTTAACATGGAAAGATAGCAGTAATATTTGCCATAACATTGAATTGCCCAGAATGCTATCTTTCTTCTTAGCTAGTGACATTATCGAGGGTCTCGAACACGGTATAGATGGACATCTTTCTTGGCACCCACTAGATTCCCTGTTCTTTTGATTTCTATTTAAGATTTTTTAAACTTCCCTTCCCTAATGTTGCCTTTCAGAACAGTTTTTTTCCTTGATAAGACAATGAAATAGCAGCAAACCTGTGCATTTACTGCTCATTTCTTTCCATGAGGGCAAACCAATCTACTGAGTTAAAGAAGCATCAAAGTACAAGGCTTTAAAGGAATTTTAGCCTCTCAAGTATTTGGGATATATTGTAAATTTGCTTTATTGATGTGTTGAGCAAGACTGCCATCTTGTGGGAAACACTGTTTCTACACTTGTTTCCCAGAATCTCCTTTGTTGAGGGCTTTTTCACATGCAAGGCTGATGTCTTTTTTACATTGCATTCTTCGTGGATACAGGAAAGCCACTGTAGACATGAGCAACCCATCTCAGATGCAGATCCATGTGTCGGGCATGATCAGGATAGGGTGCTCTCTCTTTCTCTCTCTGAACCAGCAAAACCGTGTGTGTGTGTGAGAGAGAGCGAGAGAGCAAGAGAGAGAGAGCTAGAGCGCACAACACTTCATAAATCTGTTTCTTTTCATAATATATGAGATCGGCTTAATAATTTTTTTGTTGAATCAGTGTTTCTCACCTGCTCTGTCCTCCCCATTCGGCCTTTGGCCACGTGAAAAACGTTCATGGCGCTGCAGTGACTGTGGGTGCCTCTTGTATAAGCATATACTTTAACACACACACACACACAGCACCCTAGTCCACCTGATAAATATTGCAGCATAATGCCAAAATCACAGCTTGGAACAAATTTATTATTCTGTTTCTTGTTTCCAAAAGTTACAATTGCAGGAGCCATTAATACACAATTGTTAGCATTGTACTTCCAAACATGGTTGTGTTTCTGTGCCATAATAAAACCAAACAGGGCATTCCCAACATTAAAATATCTGTCTGCATATTCAAGGTTTGTAGTGAATATCTCGCAAATTAAGTGGAAATATTTATTATAACATTGTTTACTTAAAATACAGGCCCTTTGTTTGCAAGATATAGTTCATGAAACACAGTACTATGTAAACATATAGTATTATCACTCTGTTGTGTGGTAAGATATCTGAAAAACAAAATATTGGTGTTTCCAATATTCTTTAGCAACTTATTTTAGCAAATGAAGATAACACTGTAGCTGAAAAAGTAATTCAAAGTACATGGATGGAAGAAAGATAGATCAAAGCAATTGAGCAAAATTATATCTGATTATACATTAACAAGGTGGTTAGACTCCATCAAAAAAGATACAGACCAGAACATAGTTCAGCTGCAAGAGGTGGCACAGTAACAGAAAGTGTGGCAAGATTTGGCCCATAAGATCACTTATAGATATGAATGAACAGCTGAATGACAACATTCATTAACAGCTATATAGTAGTGAGGGGTCTTTAAGATGCTTCTAAAAAGTGCTTGTCAGTAAGTCCATTGGATGTCATTCTATTTGAATTGCCTTGCAAAAACCTACTTTTCCATTACAAGAATGCAGCCACTGCATTACCTTTAATAATTTGTAGTGCTGGGATTACAGTTGTTCTCCTGACAGCTAGGAAAGAACACTGGGGCAGAGGCAGCTGAGGAACTGGTGCATTGCAGGTCATGGCTGACAAAGGTTTGAACCCAGGTCTCCTCACTCCATGGACTGCAGTGTCCTGTCCTACACTGGGGCATGTAAGAATGCAAGCATGGCATCCAGGATGGAGCAACTCCACCCACATGAATGTAAAGGACACCAACAAAATCCATTAAAAATCTGCATCACAATGGTGTGAGAGCCACTTCCCCATGACCTCTTCCCATGATCCTTTGGTAACATTAGGACAGGGGATTGTAGGATGGAAGAATGCCATTGCTCCTTCCAATGCGAATGTTACCTGGCCCCTAAATGGGAAAGCTTGTGCAGGAAGGAGTCGCAGCCACCATACGTCAGTTATCTGAAAGCACACTGGCATGTGGGGGAGCATTATGTTTTAACAATTATTGTGGGAGCTGGCCCAATGATACGGAGTCTATACATTAACACAGCCACTCCTAGAGTTCACATGATCCACATATTTCCTTGCAAAAAATAACAAGGGTGCAATACAAATGTAATGCAATGCTAGTAATGCGTGGTCTGTGGGCTCTCCAACCATATGCCAACAGCCAGCCAAGAATATAAGAATTGAAGAGGCCCTCATTTAGTCCAGGGGAGATGAGAAGTCATTTTGCACATGCAAACACTAAATCATCTTTGAAAGCATTGATGTGCAGGATCTATTTATCTCTTACATTTTCATGTATCTTTCCATACCACATGCTCACAATAAATACACAGCCAAATTTCAGGATTGGTCAGAGCATGCATCTGCTGTGAATGTGGTTCACCATATCCACATTATCACTCTGATTGTAGGTAACCCTGTACTGGAAAAGCATACAGCCTATGAAATCCTGATTCATGTGCAGGCCATAACAACTGTTTCAGTAAACATTGCTCAGGAGAAGGCATACCACTGTATTGGCATTTGATCAAATATTAGGTCTTGGTAGAACACTGGGAACAACATTGTTCATGTGCTTGCTGTTGAATTGCTTATTAGTTATCTTTTAATTTAACTACCTGCCATGAAAAACAGATTATTGAGCTTGGGTATATAGCTGAGGTCCACACAATGGCCAGCAATGGTTTCTTGTTACACAACAAGCCATGGCAAGCCTAAGGATTGCACACTCCCCTTTCCTCTTTCACATGCAGATAATGAGATTAGATGCTTTCCTTCCTGAAATCAGTTACCTTGACATCCAGTGTTGAGAACTGTTGATTATTTCCAACTATAGCTAGTGAGCACAAGCCAAGATGAAACCATGGTTTCAGATCCTGGCTTGTTTTCAAGCCACAGTGTAAACAAAAAATTATTTTTCTATTTTTATATTTTAGGGGTTTTTTGGGGGAGTGGGTATAATGGCAACAACAGTTTTAAAAATGGAAGACCATATTTCTGTTTATGTACTTGTGGCTGCAAAAGAGGAATAAAAGTGAGTGAGGAGCACACATGCCTGAAATATGTGCACATTAATTCACCTGGCAGGCAACTGTGGTTTCCCACTAATAAATCTATTATGGTTTAAAGTATACCGTGTACAGCTAATATTTTAAACTGTGTGTTAAACATGTAGCAAATGAAGAAGGATGGAAATAGCTGTATTATACAAATGAACAGCTGCAGTTTTATGTTTAGTATACTCTGGTGGCAAACCTGGGTTAGCTTCCAATGTTTAGAATGAGACACTTTTCAGAGGGCTTGAGCATAATGCCCAAAAGTTAAACTAACTCCATGGTGATTTGCCTTCCTAATTAACAACAAATATAAAACAAACTGCAATGGAATTTTCAGATGAATTAGGCTGCAAACCAAGCACACTTATCTCAGGAATAAGCTACACTGAATTCAATAGGACTTCCTTCTGAGTAGATATGCACATGAATCTGCTGTTAAAACAAAACTGCTAGTGGTGCATGGCTAGCAGATTTTAGTCTGACAGGGCTTTCAAGAAAACTGACTTTTTGCAAGACTAAGGCTACAGTTCTAAGTACCTTTAGTACAGATCGCTCTATCAACAGCCTTACTATATCAAGAACCAGAGAGAGAAAGTGGGGGGAAATCCTAATCTTATGCATGTATACCAATTGAACAGAGTGGAGCGAACTGCACTATATTTTTGAAAGGCAGGAGATTCTCTTTGATCTTGCAAAGCATCATGTTCTAGTCATAGAACTTTTACACATTTAATACGTGCAACAAAATCCATCCTCTATACCTTCAACAGTAGCTGAGTCAATTCATTTGGTTATTTTGGCATCTCCATTTAGCCCCCATCTTTACCACCCATTTCCTCTTTGGGTAGCTCATAACATTTCACCTTGTTTTCACTTTATTATCTCATTTATCCATTTGGAATAATCACACTGTAGAAGCGAGGGATTGTATACTTAAATGCTTTGCCAAAATAATCAGGGCGGGCAGATTTCCCTGAAAATCCCTTTTCTACCAAATTGTTAAAGGTGCAGAAGCTCTGCCTAGATTATTATCTAGCCCCCCTACCTGTTCAATCAAACCAATCAACAAACACATACTTAGTTTTGCTGAACTTAGGGAACGCTTCAAGACAGTGGCTTTGCACCCTGAATGGAGTTGATTTTTCAAGAAATAAAGTGAAAAATTATAATACACTACTTCTTTGGAGCCTACTTGTATTAATTCTAACAAATAGAGGAGAAGCAGCTGAAACTAAGAGGATTAAAAAAACAAAAACAAAAAAGCCAAGTGGATGTTTTTGGGAAGGGATTAAAATAAAACTTGTTAATTCAGCAAGAGGCAGCACAATCCAATGAGGGGCTCTTAACCAGTTCAGTTGGGGGGGGCGGGGGGAGGTCCATGCCTGTTACAAGTTCTGACCTTGGAAACTTGCTCTGAGGGTTCAGTTAGTACTCCGAATTATCCAGTGGGTGGCTAAACTCTGTCTAGTTGCTACTGAATTGTTTCCTTAAAGCATTTCAATATTTTGGGGCATGATTTGCAGCCAATTTCTCTTTGAAATCCTAGCAGGATGCCTTTCTCATGAAAATAAATTTATTTTATGAACTATTTTGAAGGGGCTTTTTTACACCAAGCACCAGACAATTTGTTGCCCAACACTTACTTTTCAGCTATAGCTATATTTTATTACACAGTGAAGAGCTTGAGGCTTTAATCATGCATTAATTCAAGAGTTTAAGAGCAGTATTATTTTTCAGGAAAATACTGGTAGCTGTTGGTATTCCTGCAGCTTGTGTCCATGCAAAAGTGGACTATGCGGGCAAGCATCAAAGTTCAGTTATTACATTTGCAGAATAGAATGTTAATTTTGCCATCTCTGTGCTAGGTTTATAAAGGTTATAGCTCCCATTTGAATTTCCAAGCAAGAGAAATTGGATTACTGACATTTGGTAGAGGCTTTAGTCATAAACTGAGCAAGATCTGTTTGATTTCAGTTTAGCCATCTTATGTCTTTTTTTTTAAAAAAAAGTTTAACTGATATGTTTATTCATTCTGCCAGATTTTATTAGGTTGTATATATATTAAGTTAGATTATGAAAATCCAATTATTTGGACATCAATGTTTTCGCTTTCAATAGAAATGGTTTTACAGAATCAATATTTAATAATAAGGCCCTCTTTGCTTTCTCTAGAGGGCCGTTGTAAGGAATTGGTAGTGGAATACCATGGTTGTGTGTTTGTTAAGACTGTGGATGAGGATGTTATGACTCAGTAGTCTTTTTTATAAGCCTTTTATTTTCTCTTTTATGAAAAATCTGTCCTAGTTCAGGCTTAGGAAGAATTTTGCGACTTCTAGTGATTTTTTTTTCAATTTCTTCTGTTTGAAAATGGAAAATATGTTACCTTATGTGCTTCCCTGTTTGCACTAGTAGCTCGGAAACTGACTGAGGAAATTTGAACGTTCTTTGCTTTTGTTATAACTTGTAGCTAAAACTATACTAATACTAAAAATAGTACATCTTATAAGCAATACATACATTTCCCCATGTGTGCTATCTTAAAATACATCCTAAAGATTATTTTGATAATTCTCTTTGATTACCCTAAATAAGGCCCAGTATTTCTAATTTTAACTGTGCAATTCTATTTATGTCTCCTCAGAAATAGTTCCCACAGAGTTCTGTGCACTTGGGACTGCAGCCTTAAAACACAGAGGCCATGGGGAGCTTTAGAGATATGGGCTGTTCATGATAAGAATAGATTTTAACAATAACAGAATGACAGTTTAAGTAATCTAACACTTTTAATTGTTTTACTTTAAGCAGGCAATAGGAAACAGATTTTCAAAAAACAGATGCAACATTGTTGTAAACATTAGCTGACATTGCTGTAAAATTTGCCATCATAAACACAGTTTCAAAGTCCACTTACACTAAGAAGAAAGTAAATTGGCTATCAAATTGTGTACAGGAGACTGACTTCTTCCCCAAGGGCTAAACAATTTTATGATGAAAACCATGCCAAGCCCATTCTCTTTTGTACCAACAAAAAGACAGCCTCATGCTTTACTGAAGCACCTTGTTCAGTGTCTTTCTGGTCTCACTAGTCTATGTGTCTGACCCATATGGACCAATCCTAATGTTCCATGTCGAAGGTCAAAGCCTCAAAGTTCATTTGTGTTTCTCCCGTCTAAAGCTGGCCCTACAGATGAGGTACAGAAGAGGACAAAAAATATTGAATCTCTTGGAATTACATGCTGATCCCAGCACCAAACAGTAGATTGGCAGAAAGATACACTTCTGAAATCAGGGTATCAAATTTACATATTCTAGAAGGGCATAATCCCATGGAGTCCCAGAGCCATCCTCAGAAATTTGCTGCAAGGTCAGAGTTGAGACTCTGAATCTGGACTGCCCTCTTTCTACCTGGTCAGCTACCACATATCTTTACACACACCGGCTGAAGAATGGAAGACGGACTTTGGAGCTGCTGGGGAAGGCACCTTCTAGGGGGTAAGCACAGGAGGAGTGAGGCATCACTCAAGGGGCTTACCGTCACATGGACCACACTCTTAAATAAGCACCACAGTGGGAGTCCTGCAGAGCAGTTCTATGCATACCTACTCAGATGTACATCCCACTGAGTTGAATGGAACTTACCTCCTGTTAAGTATGTATAGGATTACAGCATCAATGAATTGGAATGTTCAAGACAAATATCTTCTTATGGGTGCTTCCAAACAAGGTTTCCATTATGCAATCACCAGCCTCATTCAGGCAATTTTAGCAGCCGGGGAGGAAGGGGGAGATAGTGTCACCCACAGTGTGTAACCCTTCCATGTTTTCTCTCTGCTTCTTCTGCCTTTTTTTGCCAGAATAAATGTTTTCGGGAGGGGGGATAGAATGCCTTTTTACTTGTTAGGACAAGAAGCCCATGTCTGGAAGCACCTCTGTGTATGATCTTGACAGAAGACCGTCTTGGCACCATATTCCTTGCATCAGTAAATATTATTGTAAAACAGCTGCTCTAAGAATTGTGTAAACCATTTTTTAAGAAATCAAATGAATATGATCTTAACACATATATGCACTCTTTGATTGATTTTCTTCCATTCATTCCTTTGAAGAAATCTAAAGTTATAAAAACACGCTAAGCATCAATGCCAATTCACTCTTCATGTGGAGTGATTCAAAACTGCTGTTCACATTAAGTGAGGTTTGAGGTACTCTTGGCACAGGAAGGAGGCACCACAGGAAGCAGATTGATCCAGATGTACAGAATCAAAAAACCAATATCCAGTTAACCTAAATTCCTATTGGAGAAGAATATATATTTCAGTATATAACTATTTTTAAAACTTCTGCTTTGAAGGGCTTTGAGCTGGGTCTGCCTATATAATCTAGCTATTCCTTGTGTGCAACTCTATGCCCATCTACTGTAACTAGGAGTAAGTCCCATTGAACTCAACAGGACTTACTTTTAAGTAGACACATATAGGACTGTCTACTAGTCAATCAAAGTCTAGCATGCGCAGTAGTAATAGTCATGGTACTGACATTCTTCAACAAGCTAAGACAAATTATAGCAATGAATAATTTGTAAATCAGGTCAGAATTAAATGCACTTAAATCTATTGTTTTTAGAGGTGTTAACTCTGTGCTGCTAGTTTTCATAAAAACAGTCCTAAACGAAATTACTAGAGAATTTGCTGCTGTCACTGATAGGTGTAAGTGCAACAGTTATTAAAAATGTGCCACTATTTGTGACAATTAAAATGAAATGAGAATCAGGGAATTCTGTAAACCAAATTCAGAACCTTTAAACAACATTTTAAAATCCTTATGTTAAAAGAAAGAGACATGACTTTAAAGGGAAAAAACAGCCTGGAAATTGTTATATTATCTGTTTACTGTATTATTGATGTATTTTAAAGCCATGATTGTCTAAGTTCTGAATATGCCCACTTACTTGGGCTCCCATTCCTTAATGGGGAAGGGCTGCGGCTTCGAGAAGGCTAAAAGACAAACAACAAAGGAAACATTACTGTGGTTTGATTCTTCCCAACTTCTTTCATTCTGGAGAGAAATCTCATTGTAAAATCTAAATACAATCTGTATCACCACAATAATATAAGGCTGGAATGGGTGAATTTGTCTGTTTCACTTTCTATAGCACCCATATTTTTTTCAAGCACAGGTTTGTTCCATCCAGTTTCTGCGTTACTTTGCAATTTCGTTTATATTTATTTCTGTTTCTGACTGTGCAAAAAACTGCACAACTTTCATGCCAGTGTTCATGGGCGTGAAATTTTATTGCATTTCCCCCTAATAGGTGCATGTTTTGTAAACAATTCCCCTTAACATATACCATCTTGCCTAATGCATGCAGTTTTTTAAATCATAGCAGTGCATCACAACATTGGGAGAAATGTGTGCACTAAAGAGTATTTGCATTCTGTTCTATTGATTACTTTGGAATTCGCAAAATAGGTTGGTTTGTTATCAAAATGTGAACTAAGCACATTTCTCCCCTGTACCTGCTACAGGGCAGAGAAACTTAGGCCCTCTTCTTAAAGTACACTGTCATTGTACAGCTTCTTTCCCCACTGCGAAGGTAATATGAGTCCCCGGTAACATAGGAGGAGGCGATGGAAAGATGCATTGGCAGCTCTATCCCACATCAATTTTACCTGAGTTTCCTGGAAAGGTGGTGTTGATATGGGGAAGAGTCAAGAGCATAAACTCTTCCCACATTTCTCACCCTAGTCCAGGCTCATGGGGAGGTGCTGTGCTGCAGCAACTCTCACACTGCAGTATTAAGAAATGAGTGTGCAGTGTGCGCAGGTCTTCATACCCAAAGCCTTCTGCAGTTCTGCTTCATGTCACAATGTACCAATAACCTTTGTGTCCAACGCAGCACATTCCTACAGGGGCAGGAAACCTGTAGGCCTTGGTCCCGGCCACCCCAGCCAGCATGACCAATGACCAGGGATGCAGAGACCTGTTGTGCAACAACTTCTAGAAGGTCACATATCCACACCCCCACTTAATGTGGTGCAAGCTCAGGAAAGCTCACAGACCCCAAGCTAGAGTGGTGCTCCTGCACAAAAAAAGCAGTATCAGGGATGAGCTGAACAGTGTGACAGCAGCAAGTTAGATGCTCAGCCCTGCTTTCCTTCCTCTGCTCACCAACCACTGCAATAGGAGAAAACAGAAGAGGGAGAAGGAGCAGAGCTGGATTCTTGCAGGAGAGGAGCCTCCCTTTCCTGTCTAGTCCTTCCACTTATTCTGAAGTTCCATCATTGCTACAGATGAATGCATTTATGCTGATTGCCTTTTCATGGTTTGCAAGCCAGATTTGTCCATTTTAGCATTTCTTTGTCCCTACAGAGTACTAAAAGGGGCAAATTTAGCTCCAAAAAATGGGACTCATGGGGGTTTCCAGTGACAAAAAAGGGCCTTTCCTTCCTACAACAGTCTGTGTGTGGTTTAGCTGTTAATAATAGTGCTCAAGTCTTGCAGTGTTCTATTTATACATACATTAGACAGATCTGTATGTCATGCCATGTTACCCTTGCAAACATGCCATGAAATGTGGGCTCTTTGCTGAACAACACACAGTGCCTCGAACAGCTGATGGATCATTCTCTTCCCCCCCTTTCCTTCCTCTTCAGTCCTTCAGTCAGCTCTGGGTGACTGCAGCAGGACCCATCTTGCCTCCTTGCCCTGCCCCTCCCACTCTGAGATCTCGTTATTTTTCAGAGCCTGAAAGATGAGCAATCAGGGTCTGTTGCTGTTGTGGTTAGTCTTCCACAGGTGAACTCTTATGGCTGTCCACTATGGGTGGTTTTATCTGATCAATGTTCTTGTATATTGCAGCTGTCAAAGGAAGCTCCGCAGTGGAACAAGCAACATACAAGGACACCAGCAAGATAGCTGTGCACAGTTGTGAAGGACCAGGAGAGAAGGAATGGTAAAGAAGGGAGGGACCCCTTAGTGCAAATCTGAAATGCTGAAAGGGGGGTGTCAAAGCAGTAAGTGCAGAAAAGGGGGGGATATCTCCTACTTAACAAAGTGATGTTCTTGTCTTTAAGTGTTGCCAATGTTCTCCACCTTTTCAACACTTTTCTGATTCTCCAGCTTCTCCAGAAAGGGGAGATAGTAACTCCTACCCCTTTTGCAGAACACTTAGTGTTACAATTACTGCAGGACCCTGATAGTTCCTGCAAAAAATGGTGCCTTAATGGAGAGGAAGCTTGCTGGCACCCCATTTGCTCTGTCTGATTCTGCTGCCAATAAGGGTTTTTAAAAAACTATCGGGAAAATTTGTACTTTTTTTTTTTGTCCTGGGGAAATATATGCACATTTAATGCCTAGGAAATAGAGAGCAAATATGCACAAATTAAGGGGTGGGAAAGTAATCTGAGAGGAAATTCACACACCTGAATTAACTGCTCCATTGCTGGAGGTATACGAATCTCATTGCTATTTAGTTCCTAGCCCAATGCCAGTTTGAGATATGTTCTTCTCTGCAAATGCCTGAGTTTGTTCCTTATCTGGGATTATTATGGTAATGGAGGCATTCTAAGTTACCTTGGGGCAGGAGCTGCCTGCATTATGAGGCCGGGGGCTCACGCTACGGCTGCGACTCCGGCTTCTGTTCCTGCGAGACCACTGCAACAAAATGTAGACTATGAGACAGATCTATATTAAGCACGGAACATCTGTCATGGTGACCTTACAGAAAGGCACAGGGTTGCTATGTGGAGGAAAAGCCTGGATTTGCTGTCATCTGATGTGTTCCAAGGTTAAGGCTTCAGTATGAAACCTTGGGACACTCTCCCCCACAAGCCCATTTGATATTTCAGCTCCCATTTAAAATGCCACCGAAATGCTGGATTCTGCAAGGCAGTAAACTAAGCCTATAGATTCGAAAGGAAAGGTTTCACTTGACAACAATTTCAAGCATATTCTTGAATAAGTGGTGGGCATGTGATAAGATAAAATAAAATGATTTTGGAAACAGATACATCTGAGTGGGAAGGTGAAGGAGTGGGACGGCTTTTATGTACGCCGTCCTGAGGCCTTCACGACAGGACGGCATATAAATATTCTAAATAAATAAATAAATTGATGACCTGCAACAGCAGGAAGTTTGACCCAATGGCCTTCTTGGCTTCTTCCAACTTTAACATTCTGTGATGCATGTGGAAATGCAAAAAATTCTTAAAAGTAACTCTCCTATGAACGCCAACAATATGTTACTAGGCATCATGCCAGAGACTCCTCCGAGGACTATGCTAGAGTTATTTAAATATGTGACAACAGTGGCAAGTGTAGCAATTGCATCAATTTAGAAAGCAGAAGATGGTCCAACTACAAAAGATTGGAAAAACAAGCTAGCTGATTATGCAATAATGGCAAAACTAACTTCAAGCATATTCTTGGTCGAATCATGATACGGTTAGGGCTGAGAGGGAAAACATAGGAGGGAACTTCATCTTGTCATCCTAATCTAAGATGCCTGTGGTGCAGTCCTATCTGCCTGCTCTCCATTGGCCTAGTAAGTAACTTATATTTAACTCCTACTATTTTGTACTGTCCTAGAGGGACTGCATGGTGTGATTTGGGTAGTCACCGTAAGCATGCTAATGGAAAAGTGGGATATAAAATGAGTGAGGAAACAAAGGGAAACATCATGGTTTTTAAGGCTGCATCAGTGCTTCTCATCATTATTTGCTGGAATACTCGCAGTACTGCTTGCTAATGAGATAAAATGAACCAGTTCAAGGAAACAGACTGTCTGACAGGTTAACAAACTGCTCACGGAGTTGCCCTTGCAGCTCACACCAAAGCATGTTACATGGGGCAAAAATGTGACTTGTCTGTTGACTCAAGAGGAAGAAAGATGAGTAAAAAGCATCAGCAGGTTGGGTCTGCTTCAGTCAGACATTTCTGGGCTTGGTCCTTAGTTTAGGTTTTAGGAACATTCACATTCACAGAAAAGGCCTTTCTACCTGCCTCTTCCCCCTAAAGCTACTGGAGGATGCAGTCCACTGAAAATTATTTGAAATATGATATAGGGAGTTTGCAGATGGAAGAAAAGTTGGCAAAACCTGCCTGCCCCATTAAAATGATGGAGAAACTTAGATCCAAGCTCGTATGCTTAAATCTTAACATTCAGAAACAATCCTCACCAGAGCACCTCTTCTTGTGACTGCCTCCCCTTTCACAATGACAGAATCTTCTTCCATAAGTGCAGGCCACACATGGTAAGCCACCAGTGGAGCTGTGAACTCAGAGTCAAAGCTGCGACGGTATCTAGACAGACACAAAGGAGATTAGTGTGCGACTGTGTTTGTAGCCTATGCGCCATTGTTCCAAGAATGCTCCCCTCATAGTTATCACTTTGCATTCCACCTTTTTTCCCAAGGAACTCAGAGCAGTTATTCCTGCACTTACAGCCCTTGTGGAGAAGTGTATCCCCAGCATTTGAAAGGTTTAATCCTGCTGAACAGGATCCTTGTAGTTTTATTTATGTGTGATGGTGGGGAGTTTCACAACAGCAAAAAAACCTCATTTCTTCCTCCCCCTTCCCCATTCTTTCTTCATTCCTGCTTCACTGCTGTGCTATACGATACGATGCAGCCCTGGTGTTGGGAATTGAAAAGGAACATAAACATTTTCCCCTTTTCCTTTCCTACCTCCCGAAACAACCCTTCGTAGTGCTGTGAGGGGCATTTTGTAATTTCATGGTATGCATCATACAAACCTAGTAACAGGTGCAAAATCACTGTCTGAATTTTATAAGCAAGTCAGGATTAAAACCAGATCTCCCTGGCCCAAGTTCAACATGACAGTGTCATTTATAGCATATTGGTACACTTACACTATCAAAGTAGAAGGGGCTTTTCCAGAACAACTAAGTTAAAGCCACACAAAGAGAACTAATATAGATAAAAGCACCATGTACTGTTACCATGTTCACAATAGTGCCACGTTCCCAAAGTATTTCAAAATACAAAGGAAAAGCAAGGAAGCTACCTGCCTTCTACAGCACATCACCCCCACTTACTCCTCAATGAACACCAAGGTGTTCTTTTCTTATGAACATTAAAATGGTGCACAGGTGCAATCATAATGGGCACACTGCAAGAACATTTAATAATTCTGAACTAGATTAAACAAAGCTGCCATGAAATAAAATCTGACAAAACTGATGCTGCACTTTTGCAGAATAAAAATATATCTCAAGCTTCTCAACAGGAAGGTATGTAGCAGCTCCCACAGTGATGCCTCTGAATGTCCACCATAACCCTTCAGTGATCTGCAAGAAGATCTTGGTTGTTACCTCACTGGATGTGAGACAGTGCTGTGTTTGTCATGTTCTCTGGCTTCATTTCACCTTAAGCTTGGAAACTGACATGGAGGGCTTACTTCTCAGGGAGTCACTGTCCCTGCTCCTTGATCTTCTGGGCCAGACAATGTCACTACACCGAACTCAAAACTCATAAGACTCAGATATTATAATATACTCAAATATGAGTTTTAAGTTTGTTAAGTTCAAGATCTACAGTGGCCTATAGCATCATTATTTTGCCTCCTAGGAAAGGATCTACTGACATCACAGGACCCTCGAGTGAGCAAGGACCTGCGTACTTACAGCTACTCACATCCTGCAGAGCCATGTCATTGGCTTTTGCTTCTCAGGCTAAAGCCAATGACATAACCAGTCTGTACCAGAACGGGTTGCTATAGGTGCTAACCAAACTCCATCCATTTCTTGTTCTTTCTTTGCTCTTTCCCATGGCTAGAGGTCAAGCTTTCTGTGATAGTGGTCGTTGCATTATGTTATGTTGCACACATATAACCAGACATGACTCATGCAACTACAGAATGCCACAAGCCAAGTTTGCATTTACTAAGCATTATATATACACACAACTGACTATTGGCTTTAATTCAGCATGTGCAAACAGAATTAACAATAGACCGTAAATTCTGGAGTAAACACGCTACACAGTGAGGCAGACTGGCTTTTGCACTATTCATGTTTGCATTGGGAATACAGGACTGATATTTTAGTTTCCCTTACTTGTACTCGCTAAAAAGTTCTCCATCTGTGCCAAATGAAATATCAAGTGGAGGATCCAATGTTTGCATGGAAAAGGCTACACGGCATAACTCTCGTATTAAACCACTGATTAGAATAAAATCAACTTCTGGTGGGAAAGAAATCTTAGGATTGATGTTCATCGCACGAGTGACTTCCTAAAAACAAATGAAAAATAAATAAATGTATGAATTTTCTAGCAGGAAAATCAAGTTACAACACTTGGTAATAAGAAATAATACATGAAGATTGTTTACAATACACATACACAGAAGACTATCCATTTGGGGGAAAAGGAACACACAATAGAAGTAAGCAATGTGTTAAGACAGGTTAATACTTCTTTTTAAAAATGGTATTTTTCAAGTAGCACCACCAAATATATTTTAGAGCCTTGCCTGAAAAGATTTTCCTGCTAGAATTGCACAGCTGTAAACATATTAAAACCTGTAGTATAACCAACATCAGGCAATAAAAAATCCAACAGGGCGAGATGATCACATTTGATCAGAATGGGATCATGGTCTCCTCTACTCATGCTGGTTTACCTTCCTGCCTCATTCTTCAGAACTCTTCAATAAATAAAGGAGAACTGGCGAGAGCTACTATGTGAGAGGGCCTGGAGAAACTGTTCATTGCATTGGTCAGCCACATGTCTGATAGGATGGCTTCCACCAGGATTCAGATCACAAGGTTGCTCTGAAAACCAGCCGGATCCCTCAGACCCAGCTGACTCACTATGTTTCTATGCTTTTATATCCCTACTGTTCAGACTGTGGGTTTTAGTGTGTCTTGTTTGATTTTGTATTGGTTTACTGTTGTAAGTAGTTTGGGAGCCTCAACAGAGAGCTGACCCATAAATTTAGACAGTCAATAGTACTTAAATCCATAGCTGCAGAGGAAATCTGTAGATCCATTCATAAGTTTATGCTTTATTAGTAAGACCCTCGTGGAGAGCAGCATTTTCACAGACTTACATTAACACTGGACTGAACATCGTATAAATCCTCCTCCCGAATGATGTAATCCATGACCATGTCTTCAAGTGGTTCAGTCACTGAGTAATGTAGGGACATAGTCTTCCTAACACGCATTTTGAACTGCCTGAAGGCCAGTTTAGCTGCATGAAAAGACTCCTAGAAATGAGAAATTAACAATTTAAATATAGACAGCCACAAAAAAGAGGTAGGTTAATTTTGTGAGGTCCAACATCACAGGAAGAGTCTTCCTGAAATGGGAATGTGTCTATGCCATTTACTATGATTCTTATATAGTACCTTCCTGCTTCAGCTCGGGAACTAGTATTTGGAAAGTAAAAGGTTGCATCTGGTTATCATCTGCAACCTCAAATAAATGAACTTTGATCTCTGGCACCCTGATCCTAAAACACTTCAATTTCACATTTTATGGTGAAATGCTAACCCAACTCTCAGTGCATCACATCTTTCTTCTAAAGTAGGCTGCAAGTCATATTCCATTTTTACAACACGTGTAACCAAAGCACTAATTAAAGGTTCAGAAAGGAAACTTGGTGCCAGGAATGGAAGTTCTGAAGGAAAAGCTAATAAAGAAGTTGTTCCTTCTGAGTAAGTTTCTTTTTTTAAACAAATGACTGAATTATGAGTATGAGTGATACCAAAAAGAAATATTGCTGTATTTCATACCACAACTGCCACATAGATTATTCTCTGCACCATCTCCAGATCATCAACATAACTCTTCAAGAGGGTTTGAGCATCCAAGCGATCCTGGGCATAAATATCACGGAAGCGTTCCACAAGGCGAGCGTGGCGGGAAGCATTTGTAAGTCTTGCTCGGCCAGGTGAGAAACTTCTCATTGGAAGTGGACTAACTGATCTGCTTCGGCCAGATCTTGGGGAAGGAGATCGACTTCGTGCAAGTCTATAACAGAATTGCAAAATAGAAATAACGGAAGATCTTTATATTTAAAAATATTTGTTCAAGAAAATTCTCTCAAGAAATGGGACTGCAAGAATATTATAATGGTTGTCACTGTTGTCCTTGGAGGGAGTCTTGTCTTCTTGTTTGCTTCTTATGCTGCAAAGCATCATGGATACTGATGGCCTCATAATCCTCAAGATGTACTCTACTCCTTTGGGGCACAGTTTTCCTCAGCTTAGTCCAGCACAGGGCACTTGGTACCCTCCAGATATTTTGGACTGTAATTCTCAGAATCCCTAACCATTGGCAATGATGGCTGGGGATGATAGGAATTGTCACCCAAAATATCTGAAAGCTGCTAGGTGGCCTCCTCTTGTGCATTCAACAAAATTTTAAAAAGCATTGACAGATACTTCCACATCTTTTGTCCCAACCAAAAATATTTTTCTTCTTCTTCAGGAGACAAGCTTCACAATGGCTTGAAATATAAAACTGAATTGAATTGAAAAATAGCTACATTATCAGGAAAAGTATGTTTTCCATCAGCTGTGGGTCATTACCTGCTTTGTAGAACAGTTTTTTGAGCACCAAGTATGGCAATCTCGTCCTTCAATGTTTGAAGCTGCTCTTCATAGTCATTCAGCCTCTCCAGGTTCATCAAAGCACATTCTTCTTTTGTCCGAGAAGCCTTTAGACTTAACCACATGGAATAATTCTGATCACAGGGGGTGCATTTACTACTGTCAATACCCTGCTTTTAAACCATACTGACGTAGATGAATGGCAAAAGCTGATAACTAGAAAGAACTGCAATTTTACCAATATATTGCAGAAGGAACAAAACATAATATTTATCATCAGCACACAATTTAATACCAATCTTATCTATACTTTGGTTGCAATGGTGTTGTTTTTACATCTCAGCCACCTAAAAGCAATGCACAGTGTCTTAAAAGCTTATGTTATTAGCTGCCGTTACATGCTGTTAAGTCATTTCTGAATTATGGTGACCCTATGAGTGAACGTCCTCCAACACTCCCAGTCCTCGACATGCTGTTCAGTCCTTGTAAACTCATTATTTGCAATGATACCACAAGCACATGTTCAATATGGCAGGGATTCCCAATCTTTTTGGACTTGCAGGTACGTTACAGGACCCTGGGCGGGAAGCAAAAGGGTTCAGAAAGTAAGGCTAGAGGACAGCAGCAGGAGAAACAGTCAACTAAAGAGGATAAGGGAAAATGGCAAGGTTAGAGGATGGGAGGGAGGGAAATAGCAAGGCAATGGGGTAGAGGTTAGATAGGAAGAGAACCAAAAGGTTAGAAACAAAGAGAATGAAGAGTGCCCCAACATTAAGGGTTTGTTTTTAAACTTTGTGAGGACTGCCCATGGGCACCAGGGTACATTCAAGCACTGTGTTGAGAATCCCTATTGTATGTAGTAGGGTTGTTAAGAGTATGCACACACATGGTTATTCAGATGACCTTTTAGTGACCACTGAAATGACTACAACATGGAATATCAATTGATAAGTTTGTGTGGTAAACTTCAACATGCAAACAACTTGCCAAGAGAGTTTCCACAGGCCACTGCACAACATGAAAGCATGAAACTATAAATCCTTTTACAGCAGCTTCCCCCAAACTGATGCCCTGATGTTTTGGACTACCATTGCCATTAACCTCAGCCAACATGGCCAATGGTCAAGGATAAAGAGGGTTGCAACACAAAACATCCAAGTTGGGTAAGTCTGCTTTCGAGATACTAATTCCATGGGCTCTGTTACCCAGAGCCTAAGAAGTTACTGGATTAGGGCTAGAAGAAGAGTCTCCTGAATTAACAGTTCAGGGACAGAACTGGGTTACATAAAGGCATTACAAGGCTTCTATCTCCTTAGAGCATGGCTCCCTAGGAAAACCTCCATGTCCCAAAGAATTCACAGTGCTGCCCTTGGATTATATTCCAGCCATGAAAGCATCTGCATACCACTGTCACCCCCACCTTGTCACAGCCCGAAGCTGCTAAAACAGACTGGGCCCATTTAAGGAAGAAGGCCTTAGTCAATGTGGAAGTTGGACTAACCAGCTTAAAAGGAGTCAAAACCATAGTTAAGGCTCAGTGACAATCTGCTTCTCATTAGAACAACATACAGGCAAGCCTGTCCATTTTTTTTAGCCACAGCACCCCTCAGAGCTCTCCATGGTGCTGTCCTAGTCCTACCTTCCAGGGAAGTCTGACTCCAATTTCATCAGAATCCAGTTAAACTGACTTTCCAAAACAATGGTAGGAACCAAATGCATAATGAACAATCTGTAACCCAAGTCTCACTAGCAGCCAAAAATGGCTGTACACCACTACCATCAATGGTGGAACACAGTGTGTAGATTCAGGTATAAACCATGAGGTTGTAACTTCTACAGGTAACACTGTACTGTTCAGGATGGCAAATTCCCAGGTAGACTGTGAAAGGCTCCAACACACTGCTGAATGATAGAAAGATAGATACTATCACTCTCTTTGAAATGTATGGGCTTGAATGTACTGGTTGTACTTGTTTAAAATCCCCTGGCAACTTTATTTTACATACACTTTTCTTCTTTTTATATCTGTTTATATTAAGAAATAATTTTAAAGGCTCCAACAGAATTTCCAGGATAACTAGTCAATATATTGGCATTTGAGATCCCATTTGAGTGCAAAGTTAAGTTCATATAATTTACACCTTCTTCTAATTTTAAATACCCATCAAAAGAACAAAAACATTAGTCATGTCAAATTGTCAGAAATTAGGTCATCATAAGAAACAAGAAATTACAAGGTTGGCGGCAATGAAGAGTTATCAACAAAAGCTAATCAAATGCAACTATTTATATAGTTGTTTCAACTATATAAATTTATTCAGATGAATATTCATACTGTGGTTCCTAGTGTTTGTGTATGCATCTGTGGTATGATCATAACAGACACACAGTGTTAACATGACCAGATGGTTCATAATCAGTTGCTTAGAAAAAGGAAGCTTATAAATACTTGGCAAGCTTTCAATACAGCTATAAGGTCATTATAAAATATCCAAAATACACAGGTAGTGTTTCTATCCAAAGATCATTGAGTGGCATCTTGTGCTAAATCTGAATAATATATCACATGGCCTGTCATTGCTCCATTACTTTACACTTGATTATGCACAGCACAGTATAAAGCTTTATCTGTAGCAATTAATCTATGATCACACATAGAAATTTCACTCAATGTGAAATAAATATGCACGTGTGATCTATGTGACTACCCAAGATTGCATGTCCATCTGGTTTTTATTCACACGACTTATTCACAGGATATATTGGATTTTCCATCTGTTAAATGTACCACATACTTTGTGATATTACATGGAGAGATTATCCAAGCACAGTAGAATTTGAATACTAAGTTGCAACAACTCTTCTCTTTTAAGGTCATTTGGAGGCATAGTTTTGCAGTGGTTGTTGCCAAGGGTGGGCCTAGCATTTTAGAATGTGATGTTGTCACTTAGATCCTAAGGTAAATGCACTGAAAAAAGTTAACAGAAGGAAAGTTTTCTGGCAGTCATGAAGCCCTTCCAATCTGGGGTGGAACTGCCCCAGTCAGGTAGACCTCTGCCCCATTTTGGGCAATAATCTCCTCTCCTAGAAGCCCTCCAATGACCCACTTCATATTGTTGTGGGGGTTGTCCTCTGGGGACACAGGACATTCCAGGGAGAGGAAGTGTTTTCTGTCAATTCCTTCTGCTAACTTACTTAGGATCCAAGTTCTTTGTGTAATTTTTAAAGATAAATTTGGCTGTAATGCATTGTGTGCCTTTTTTGTTGTTTTTTAAGCAATGTGTTGCTTTGTGTTCTGTTCATGCACAATACAGAAACATAGAAATAGTGAGTCAGAAGCGGCCTCCTGGGCCATCTAGTCTGACCCCTGGCTCCAGCTGGCTCTGCTCAGGACATGCCTACCATGTACATGTCTAGCCTATCCTTGAACATCCTCACAGTCTGCAGCAAAGCACAGTCTAACCACTCTATGGTCACCTTTCTGAAGCATTTCTTTCCACTAAAGAAAATAGAGGCTTTAACCAACATGTGTGAAAATGTACAGATTAATGGAGAACTCCAGCTCTAAAGGTTAGGAAGCAGAAATCAGGTTCAGTAAGTTTGAGCTTTATTGAAAAATAAGTTCATCTCCATCTCCTTGACCAGGACTTCTAAATTATAAGAGTCATGTCATGTGCTTGTCAAGAAAAGAGACTCTAGAAATGTAACTTAGAAGTATCATCCAATTAAAGAGCATCACTGAAATTTACTTGGATAAACTTGCATTTGGATGTGGAGAGTAATACCACAAACATCACTCAAAACAATTCCAGGTCACAGAGCACAAGGCAAGGCGAGTTGTTGATTCAGAAGCACCACCAGTTGGGATTCTGCCTGCAAACTGATTCCTTAAGCAGGAGCACTCATACTTCAAGAACAGCTGAAAAGCCTTTACAAACTGGGTTTTCTATACATACATAGTATCGGTAAAACAATGAAGATGTAAAGCACATAGCAAAACTACATTTTGCAATACTGAGAAGGCTGAAAAGCAAAGAAAACCATGTTTAACTTATGCATCATGGCTGCACCTACATTACATTCACACTAGTTTAATTGCTTAGCTTCTTCTGAAAGAAATCTGAGAGATGCAGGTTTGTGTCAAGCATTCATAGCTGAAATTCAGTGCAGCAGCCATTACAGTGTTACTGCTTTAAGAGTATCATGCAAATATATAATGTACAATTAAAACAAAGGGGAAACCACGTTACTATTATTTTGTTCGCATAAGACCTCATGAATTTCTCAAACATTTTCAGAAACTAGTGCCAGTGGGAAGATTTGTCAGCATTTGTCAAAAGCAACCGAAAACAAATATCATTATTCCATAATATGAATGAAGTGCAATGTGGTTAAACCTGAGAGCAACCTTGCCAGTCACAGGACAGTCCTGCAAAATGTTTTTCTTACTCTGCTTTTAGCTGTACAATTTCATCCTCTGCTGCCAAAAGAGTAGTGGCTGATTTGGTCTTTGTGTCTTCAAGAGCCAACTGGGCTTCTGCAAGACTGCAAGAGAAATCAACACCCAGAGATATAACTTTAGAATGCAGATTCTGCCTACATTTTCAGTGGGAAGGAAAACAGTAACTTAAAAGACTTCTTGCATTTGGAAAGACACTATACAGGCTGTCAACAAACAGATAGCTTATCAAAATCCTATCCACCATCACAGCAACAACAGCAAACACCAACTTGCACCAAATCCTTCACTTCCTCACCAGACCGAAGGCAATTTGTTAAATTACTTTTCATATTTAATTATCTAACTCCAGACACAAACTGGGTTGGATCTAGATTTAGTCAAACTCAGACTGGGCCCACTGAATCTAGTGTTAATACTATTGATTTCTATGGGTCTTCTGTAGCTTACCCATTGTGGCTTAGTGTGTTGTCCGAACCCAGTCTGGCTTTTCCACTGTGGGTTGTTTTTCACAAACAAGCCAGCCTGAAAATACCCTCCTGGCTTATAGGAGGGTTGGTTGTCCTCAGAATGTCTTGTGATGACTACACCTGACAGAGTCATTTCAGCCCTGGTTGTTTAAAAGAGTGAAAGAGTTGCCTGGCAAGAAGGGGAAAGCATCCCCTTCCCTTTTACATTCTGAATCACCACTAATCAATCAACTCTCCTCTTTGTTGCCTCCTAGAGAGTGGCACCTTTTTGTTTGTCACTGTCAGAAAGACTAGCTCAAACCAAACATTTCTTTTTCACCTTCAGAGAAGCTTGCTCCTATTTGATGCTTTTGAGTGTTTACATTTTACACTTTCAGGAAGATTTGTGGAAATTTAACTTAACAACTTGAGGGTAAATCCATGCTAATCCCCTAAAGTACAGTAACTACTCCCTGCTCCACCCACCTGAAGCCTCAACACCAGGCAGCAGAAATCACACACCAGCACCACATGGGCTGGGCTTTTAAATTCCCTTTTGTAATTTGCTTCTCCTTAGTCCAATGGATTGCCTTAGGAGTCATTCTAGGACAATCTCTTCTCCCATCCTACCTTCAAACCACTATTCTCTTTTTCTTCCTTTTCCTTTTTATTTCTAATAGAAGCGACCCTCTGATCCACTTACTTGAAAATGACCAATACAGCCAATCCAGTATTGGAATATTGAGAGGCAGGGTTTGAATGGCTAGCAAATTGTTCCTATGGCTAGAGGGGCTCTTTGCTCTCCATCTCCTCACATTTAATGCTGTTGTAAGTTTCTATGGAGAAAAGGGGGCGGGTGTAGATTCTACACAGTTACAAAGAGGGCCACTCTTGTCTTAAGGATACATTGTGTTGGATGGCTTTATTTAAGGGTCTCCAGTCTAGTGTGTAAACCTGATTGCCCTTGCTGTGTGGGATGGCTGGAAAAGCAGCAAACAATAAAGTGAAGGCTGACCCTAATGATGTTTCTGCATTGACGAGGGTTCTAGAAACATGTTCTTCTCCTTCCCCCAATGTAACAGCTAACAATGGAGGCCAGTGGAAACAAGCAACAAGCATGAAGGAGAGCGAGGTCAAAATAGTTTGGGGCTACAGCAGCTTAGGGGAGTATTATTTCAGTAGAATGTGAAGCCACCCTTTAAGAAAAGATAGACACAAGTCCTGAAGTGGAGAATAGATTTAACAAGGGCATTGACAAGAGGGAGTTATCAGTATCCTGGACTAAAGAGTGGATAGCCTGTCATGCACACTTGCACAACACTAAGAAAAATTTTGACTGCATTCCCAAATTCATAAGGTCATGGAAAATTATTTCCTTTTTGCAATGTGATGTTGGAGGAGTTAAGGACAGTTTCATTCAGGATTCAGTGACAAAGACATTGACAAGAGGGAGATATGGCTGCACTGTGCTTAATATCAGAACAATAGTTTTCTGCAAGACCTCTAAATGTTTTCTTTTAAACCACAGAGTCCCCAAATTCAGAAGGTTTCCGTGGTGAGCCAGTAACCCCAGTGGATCAATCATAGAAAGGATACTGACATAGGCAATGAGGAAACTAGGATTTCTGCAGCAAAGAACCCTGAGATATGTGCCAGCAGCAACCAAGAAAATTGAGACAGACTGAAGGAGAAAGCCATTGCAAACTGTTGAAGGGGCAAATTATCTGTCTAGAGTAACCAGCCTTATTCTCAGGTGGCTTAGAGTGATGTGTGAACTCACCCTCAGGATGACTAAATCTGGATCCAAACCAATATATACAAGCAGCATCATTTGTAAGTGACACACACCAGCCTAATGTACATTGCCTTCTCCTGTGTATTTTGTTTGCAAAAGCCAAGTTCTGTATGCCTCCTGTCTGTGCACATTTTCCATTTTGTATAGATCACAAGTGCAAAAAACAACATATGAACCTATCTCATGAACCATAGCATTGATCTATCTAGTCCAGTACTCTAACTGGCAGCAACTCCCCTGGACCTTATGCAGAGCTTTGCCCTAGACTTGCTTTCTGAAATTCATTAACTGGAGATGCTGGGGCTTGAACCTGGATGGCTTCTGCAAAGCACATGTGCTGTGAAATTAAGTACTGTTAAGCTCTGTTAACATATGAACTGATCCTTAAATTTGCATGCTTCTTACTGAATGGCAATCATTATCAAACAACACTGATAATGAATTACCACTGCCCTGACTTTACAGTGGTCCAGTTTACATGCAACAAGAAGCCACCATGATGAATTCCCTCACAGGGCTTCCCTGTGGCAGTGGCCACCCTTATGAATATTCAGGGCACCATAGCTGGTAGTTACAGGCAGACCAAACAGGTGAGAATATTGACATGGTTACAGCCCATGGGTTCTGGGTGGCTTGTCAGCCACACCAACAGCCTACCCTCACTGGGTTTAGATGCATTGACTAGCTACGGTACATCACCAATGTACAAAATGTCACAGCAACAAGACTCTCTGTGGGGAAATTCACCACAGCAGCTTCCTGTTATATGCAAACCAGGTCAACAACTAAAAATCTTCCTATGCACAGTTATCAGGGTGACTTCTTCCTAGAGTATCAGTTCAGTAGACAAAACTGTGTGAAGATTATCACTGTCTTCTGTCATATATAAGTCTTTACAGAGGAAGGAACCAGTTCTTTATTACCATCACAACCCACTGCTGTTGGGTTATCTATACTTATTAGAAGGAGCTCAGTGAACGCACAGAGCTGTAGCAGTCAGTGAGTGGTGCCTAAATAACCCCTCCCACTGATGAAGGGGCTTCCCATCAGTTGAATGGGAAAGGGAGTATTCTCCCTCCCCGCTGCATTTTGTCCAGATGATTAGCCGAGACTCCCAAGAGTATTTTGAAAGATGTGGCGGACTCTGGAGTAGAGAGGCGAATAAGAAAGTGACAATGAATGAATGGAATTTCAATAGTACAAAGCTGGATTTCTCCCACATATTATTAAAGTAATGGATATGAATGTTTCCTATTACTAAGAGGCAAAATACAAGTCTAAAAATAATGTCTATTTAAATAATAGTCTATTTAAAATATAGACTAAACATACACTGAAATGCTAATTACAAGATGAAGTTGCTGTAATATTGTTTTCAGAAACTGATGGCAACAGTAAAAGGTCGAGAAAAATAATTTCCATTTTCACAAAAGAAACTAACTTCATGCAAAAAAGTTATTGAAAAAGATAAGATGTATAGGAAATATTGCATTCCTCATCTATGGTACTTGGATTGTTTGAAGTGCTCATTATCAATATAATATTTTTTTTTAAAAAGAACTGGCTAGCTATCTCTGATCCTAAGCATGTTCTCGAAGTGGTCAAGTTTGTTGCTTTTCAATTTTATGGTTTTATGTTATATGTCACAACCAAAATGATTATAATGTTTGCTTTTGTATAAATTAAGTTAAACTTTCAGTTGTGGGAAGCATGCAAATTTTGAAAATCAAATCAAAATCAAAATATTGTTCAAGCTCTTGGGTCAACATTATAGCATGTAACCAGGACAGAAGGACAGAAGGAATCTATCTATTGCAGACTATTCAGCCTATTCTAAATCTCATATATATCACTGCCACCTCAGTAGACAGAAAGGGACAAGTGCAGGTTGATTGATCCCATACATGTGAAACTAGAAATGTTATATAAATGCATGCAGCCCTCCTACATGCTTCTATTCTGCCTCTATGAGTTGATCACATGAGGTTAAGGTTAAGGTAAAGTTAACATTAAGCTCAGCTAGGAAATGCACAGTTGTGGAATGATGGTCTTTCTTTTTTATACATTACAAAAATGCCCATCTTTTCACTATTGTGAAAAGGGGATTTCCCATACAACCTAAATCTGGCGAACCTAATATACCAAAAAGAGATGCACAGAATGTTTTGTGTTCAACGTACTACACTGTGGGCTACTGCTAAGTATTTCAACAACCTGTCCCATCGTTCTCAAGAAGATCCAAAGGCAGAAAGGGCTTTTAAGCAGGAAAATCACACCAGTTGCTGAATTTCATAGCTAGATAGATAAATAGATAATTTGTGTGTGGGGGGGTTCCCTTTCCTCCCCTCTCACAGCAGAATTGCCTTTCCCTACTGATTTTCCTACTGGAAAATTAGTTTATCATGAACTCTGGAGTTTGTGAAGTCTGTAGCTATCTTCCTGTGAGGTCTGTGAATCTCCCATACATGCAAGGCTGATACGCTGGAAGTCACAGATGCTTAATTCCAGGATACATGCAGGCCAGAAGCAGTAAGTCTCCATTTACCCAGCCGTAACATTACACTGCATGTCACATGGAAGCTATCAAAAGTGCCACAACCATGGTAAAGGTTATATTTTATAGTTAAGATAACAAAGAACCTCTCAGAACCTTAAAGATTAATCAATTCATTATGGCACAAGCTTTTTCAAAGATCAAAAGCTTCTGAAGTATCCCCAACCATAGCATTAAATACATTTTAGAGCATGTGGGTTGATTTCTATTTAGGTTAGATTTTACAAACAAAGAATATAATTCAACAACTATGTGCATGCCCAAAGAGTGAATATAGTCAGAATAAATAAACTAAGTTTGTGGCCAGGTGTTCTGTGAATAATCATATGATTGCCCAGCCTTATGATGAGGCAAGAGAAAGTACTCTGCTTTAGCACAACATTCCAGGCAAGGTCAGGGCTCTAACTCCTAATTCTAATTCTTCACAAGAAAAGAAGACTAGGTGCATTTATGTCTAAGAGACTGTGTGCCAAAGAATCACTTTATAAATGATTAGCTTTTCCTACACATGTGGGCAAATGTTAAAGGAAGTCCCACCAGAGCTGAAGCCTTGATTCTTTCATTTCAGTCTTGAATCTCTGGGAGGCTATTTGTCCATCCTGCTGCCCATGGGCATTGGCTGCAATAAAACTATCAAGGTCCTGATGATCTACTGCATTCGATCCACTGGAATAGCTTTTTGCCCACATGGGCTTCACCTCCTGCTTCCCCCGTCTTGATTTTTCCTGCCTGAGACTTTTTCCTGAAATCAAATGTCTTCATCTCCCCTTTTAACAAATAGAGGTGCTTTAAGAGACACAGAAAGCATTTTGAGCATGCTTTAGAGCATGTGTACTTTTTTTTAATCCTGTGGTCCTGAACCCATGAGCACCCATGATGAGCATGTACTGTATTTTTCCATGTATAAGACTACTTTTTCTTAAAAACATTTACCTAAAATTGGAGGTGCGTCTTATACACGGGAGGCCAAGAGGAGAACCACAGGCATGATCGGGGGGTGGGGGAGACTGGCGCGATCGTGTGTGCGTGCGGGGGGGCGGTGAGGTGCTGCGGGGGGGCGGCGAAGCGGTGTGCGCGGGTGGCAGCAGCTTGCCTGTTGGAGATCAGTAGGAAAAGTGGGGGGGGGCATTCTATACATGGGGGCATCTTATAGATGGAAAAATATGATAATACAATGCAATCACTTGCCAGATAATTTATAAATTCTAAGGGTGGCAAATATTGTTTATATTTTTGTATAACAAAATACTTTCAAAACTCTTATAGAAAGAAGGAGAAAGGACAAAATATTGATGAAAAACCATTAATTGTCCTACTCTTGCTGAACAAGACTGAGCTGTAAACGAGTGGCATTCAATTCTTTCTCCAGCTGTTGTATTTCATGGTTCCGAGTGCTGGTCAATTCCCTCAGCAATCTGTTTTTCTCAAGTGATTCCTACAGTGAAGTATAAAAATAGATTCTGAAGTGTATAAATGAAAGGTTGTCTCTTTTAAAAAGTTACGTTAATACATTTTAGAAATGTTTTGCTAAGTGCTGTAGATATCAAACTAGGTTTAAATAAAGCTGTTTTATTAAATCAGGAAGAAAGCCAGATTATGAATAAATTAACCTACAGGGCCTGTTCACACATCATGATAAGCCAGGCTGAAAATACGCCATGGTGGGCTGGTTAATTGCTTGCTAAGTCAAAGTGCTGCCAACAGGTGATCAGACATTCACCGGCTTGCTATGTTTGTTTCCCCTTTGTCCTTCTGCCTGCTTCCAGCTGGTATCTGAGGGGTCTTTGCAGCACTGCTTGTCTGTACTTGTGCTATCAGATTCTTCCCTCAGCACCTGATACATCTTTGCCTTGCAAAGCACCCATGTTGACAACTATTATATTTTTTATTATAATTTTTATTATTATTATTATTTCCATTTTTATGCTGCCATATGTATCTGGAGTAGAACATAAAAAGTATGTTGTATTAATCTTTGGCATAGACAGCAGGTACTTACCTTCCTTTTTAGGATGAAGTAGCTAACCATTTTATTTTCTTTTGCTCCTTAAAAATGTGTCTTTGGTTGTTCCTTGCAGCCAATGATGAGCAGTGTTCCCCTTCTCAGCGAAACTATATGGGTATGCATGGTTGACTTACCTTTGGTTAAGTAAATTGGTCCCAGTTTGGGATCATGGGAATTTGGGAGGAGGGGATTTAAATTTTCCCTCTCTTCTTTTCATGCAGAAAGCTCGCCCCAGAGAGGGGTTAAAAATTAAGATGTGTAGGAAGTGCTAGAAAGATGAAGAACATCACTGTATAACTATAGTCACTAAATCATATTCAGGTTATATAGAAAGAATGGCCGCCTTCCTTCAGGTCACTTGGTGAAGGTAAGAAAAACCTGTCTCCCAAGAGAAGAAAGCCAATGACTATTAAATGAAGTTCCAAGCTGGATAAGAATGGCACGATGAAGAGTAAGGGAGGCAGCATGAGCACATGCTGTGATCAGTCAGAATTTGGCAACTGGGATTACAAAAAGCCAACGGTGAGTTTGTCAGAGCTTTGGCCAGGCAACTTGGTAGCCCTTTCAACAAGCCATCAAGCCAGGTTTACATTCTGAGATAAGGAAAGTTGACAAACTACTGTGGTGTGGTGTGTGCTGCAAACCGGGTCTGAGCAGGTTTGCGCTATCAGCAGCTGAGAGCATGGCTTAAATGCCAGTGCGGTTAACAAGCCAGGCAGAATCCCTGGGCAATTCCTGGGTTCTAGGGTAGTATGCTAACCATGGTAGCAAACCACCTTTCCTAGGTTCACATGACACAATAGGTTATAGCGGCTCTCTGCCACAACTTGAATATTCACAATGGGACTGGCACACACCACAAGCCACTGTGGTTTATTTATTTATTTTTTCATTTATAAGCTGCCAAACAGATCAAATGAGCTCCCTAGGTGGTGTACAACAATAAAACACAGCCAAGCAATTAAAAATTTCATTAAAATAATAGATTAATAATAATACTAACATACTGAAACAGGCCAGATCAATTCCAAGAAACATGTCCAGGTGAGACAGACAGCCACACACAAAGCTACGTTAACAATTTAAACATTTAAAAGACCCTTTATTAAAATAAGTTGTTATAATTATTAAATTGGGTGAAGAGATAGGTTTTCTCTGTGGAGCCATAATGCAGGTCACCAATCATGCAAAGCAGCCCGAAAAGCTCTCCTCTCCAGTATACCTATCAAATCTGCTCTAGAACGTTCTCCAACTCCATGGAACAGATTTTGGGGAGCAGGGTCAGGTTGCAATAGGAAGGGGAAACCCATTCCACCAGTGGTTTCTGATCACCAGCTGACAGTCTGTGTTGGATACAACCCAATGTGTGGATATAGCATTGTTTTATGAAATAGCTTTATGATTCTGAATGTAACTGGAGGATCTTCTGCCTGAAACCTTAGCTTTCTATATGCAAGGAGTTTTTGATGTGGGATAAAGAAGCATTCACTTGCATGATCCTCCTTCAACATTTTGAATAATATAATCCTGGTCTACTACCATGTATTCTACCTGAATGTGTACATCAGCCAACATCCTTAAGAAAATTCACTTCTGATGTATTCCTTATGTCAAATCCATTCTCAAGTTATACTGCTACTTTCCCCATTTAAAAAAACTGAACAAAAATACAAAACAGCCACAGGTATCAATCAGGTCAGCCTTCCAGAAACCAGCAATGGGTAAGTTAGTCTCTAATCAATGAAAGCATGTATACAATTTGCTTGAAGAATTTTATTAGTGATGTTTAATAGATTAAGCAAACTAAATTAATGACTACCAACCTTTGTGGAAGGAACTATTATTTTGACATGTAAAATACATTGATAGGACATCTGCCTTAAACATGGAATTATTATAATTAATTTTTGTGCACCTTTACAACCTAATTCTCCATTTGAGGTCTAAATACCAGCTCAGCTCCTGACCCAATTGTCAAGAGGCAAAGGAAGAAAGAGACAACTGCAATATTTGAATCATTACTTCTCAAAACTTCAGTTTACATGTTATGCCAAGACTTTTTTAAAGTTTACTGTACCTGCAAGTGAGAAGAGCTTCCAGGAGTGGGGCTAGAAAAACAAGTCCCCAACCATGGCAAGAGACGAGATTTTATTATTTCCACACCTGCATACTGTCCACCTGGATCAACAGGTGAGAAAAAAGGAGAGAAGAAAATCTGCAAAACAGAACACTTTGAACAATTGGGTATGAGGTAATCACTCCTTAAATTATTATATGTACACACAATCTATACATGCAGAACATGCACAGCAAATCTTCCCTATATGTAGAGTAGAGCATAGAAAATCTTACCTTCTCGACAAGCTTGATTGAAGATGGTGAAGAGTTGCCCTTGAATTATGGCATTCAGTTCCATGACTTCACAGCATCGGGTCAAATTCTGATCACATGAATTAACCTGCAAATCAGGAAAACATTGCTAACACTGATTCTGCATATGTGGTATCATCATAGTTATTTTTCCTCAACAGAACCAGGTTAAACTAAAGATGGCTATGGGACTAACAAGAGAACAACATTCTCTGCTAATCAGTAAAGCAAAGACCAAACAAAATCAAGGAAGGTGAAACTCCCCAACAGACAATAATGAGCCTATATGTTAGGAGCAATAAGAACTATGCAATTTCATCTAATGCAGATACAGTGGTGCCTCGTATGTCAAACTTAATTCGTTTCAGAAGGCTGTTTGAACTCTGAATCATTCCAAGTCCGAATCAATTTTCTCCATTAGAAATAATGAAAAGTGAATTTGTTCCCAGACCCTAAACAATACCATTTTGATAAATTAAACAGCAAATACCATGAAACGAATTAAGTTCGAAGTATGAGGCACCACTGTTAGAATTTATATTAATAATGTTACATTAGTGCATTTACTGTACCTTACTGAGGAGTGGTTATATGCATATAACCAAAAAATAAAGTGAAAAAAGCACTGAAAACACATGAGCATTGCGCAAGAGATGTTTCACAGCGAGAGACAACTTGGGCACACAACAGATGACATTTATACTGCAACTGCATTTTTTTCACTTTGTGTGCAGTTCGAACATAGAAGCATTGTCCAAACCTTGGAGCAATTTTATCTCAACTTTAATGTTTGAACTCTGGATCATTCAAAGTTAGAGTCGTTCAAAGTAAGAGGCACCACTGTATATCTCAAGCCCAAAATCCATTACTGGGGTCCTGGTGGTTTCCCCACTTGTGTTTCCGTGTCCTACCTCATAAGGTTGAAATGCTCTCTTAAGAGTTTGTTACTCGCAATAAAAGCTTGAAATTTAAAATATAGCAGGGTTTTGTTTGCTTGCTTTTTTCCCTTTGAAATCAGCTGTCAGAGGCATCCAACAGAAACTTTGAAAGGAAGTCTAATTTCAGTTCTGTCCATAGTGATCCAAGGAAGGGTTGTACATCAGTCTGGAAATATCAGCTCTAAGTACAGAATTGTGTACCTAAGAAGAACTCAAAAGGAGCAGGATGCGGCTCAGTGGTGGAACATACACTTTGCATGCAGAAGGTCCCAGCATCTCCAAGTAAGGCTTAGAAAGAATCCTGCGGAGTCCTGGATGAACTGCTGCCGGTTAGTGATAAAAGAGGCAGTATAAGACCTCTATTTTTAAGCAATATAGTACAAGCCTTCAGTAGCTGCAATGTGAACTGTACCACCATATTATGGTGTAGAAGGATACACACTGTCACTAAGCGACACTGATCTTTAGCAGACACTCTTATTTCAGGCTAACATTTATTTTCCAATTAATATAAACTTATGTTTACTTTCTCTCATTGTTCTGAGGAATATATGTAATACAATGCAAGAAGTGCTATTGTCAAGCATATATTTGTGCTTAGATCAAATCAGGTGGAATGTTTTACATTTATAGATAGCTTTTTCTTCCAGAGCTTGCTTTTTGGATTCTCATGCAAGAAACTACTCAGGCCAAATGTCATCCCTACAGTCTACTGAAACACAACCAGTGGGCTGAATGCTAGACTTCATTCACACATGCATGCTCTTCACTTCAGAAACATGACATCAGTTGATGACTTGCATGTGTGAATGAGCCATCATAGGAATAGCACCACTGATAGAATTCCATTGTATTGTTTCCCAACAATGCTTTCTAATTGAATTGATCCACACATTCAGCTGTCCATCATCAAACGTTAAGAAATGGTGCTGATGCATGTGTGAACCAACCTCTGAATTCTATCAGATCTAGTTCATATAGGATCATATTTAAAGAACCCTGTAAATGACAGAAGGATGACATGTAAGTTCATGCATCCAAAAGCTCTCCCTGTCCTGTGGATACAATGTGAACACAATAAACTGGAAATGTTCTCAAGTGTTTATTATTGTATCTGATATTTTCTTCTACATTCATTGACCATGTGCATATATTGTATGATTTTAGTCTGTATGTTGCTTTGAAAGGGCTTAAATAATTTTAAATGCTTTTCTTAAACAAATGATTCCGTTTCATGGTGAAAACTTGCAAAGGCATTAGAAGAGTACTAGTGCCCCATAGTAGTCTGATGTCAGTCAGAAGGGGCTGTTACAATCAGATTGTCACTGGTGAGGGGGAAATGCCCCGCTTTCTGAAATCAGGAGACAGGTCAAGTTATAAGTGTAACTCAGGGGGGCTGTGTTCAACAACTACCATCTAGTTCCATTCAGGGGGAAACAGTTCATCTCAGTCATGAAGCTCACTGGGTAATCTTGCTCAGTTGCTATTTTCCACTGAATCTACCTCTCAGGGTTGTTGACATTACTACAATACACTGCTTTGGGCCAGAAAACAATGGAAGGAATTCAGGGTGCAATCCTATCCAAACTTAGGCAGAAGAATCAGGGTGTAACCCTATGTAAATTTAGAGAGAGAAAAGGCCTACTCACAGTCTCTCTCTCCTTTCTCTAAATTTGCATGAGATTGTGCTTTAAAAGAATGGGTTATATACAATGTTAGTTTAAACTTAAATTGCACTAATTTTAATGAGTCTCCTTCAATAGGACTAAAATTGGATACAACGCCAATGAGTTAAAGAACAGCATTCTACACAGTGTAAATGGAGCTGAATATTAAAAGAAAACATGTTTTGGTTACTTTATTCCCTAATCTAATCCGACAGGTAGAAGATTGATGCATTTGAAACATGCTATTGGAGGACAGCTTTGCAAATACCCTGAATTTGCAAAGGGGGGTCTACAGCAAATCAAGCCTTGCCCTATTGGACAGTATAAAAATGTAATAAATAAAATAAAAATGAACTTTCCCAGGAAGCAAAAATGACAAAACTGAGACTGTCACACTTTGGACACATCATGAGAAGGGAAGACCAAATATGAGATGGACTGAGTTCACAAGATCAGGATTTGGGCTTTACAGGATCTCCATAAATCAGAGACTTGAGGTCACATAACAGCAATAATCTAATCAGAAGACAGCGACTGAGAGAGAGACTTTGGTACCCTCGTAAAACACTGCTTTTCTAGCTGAGGAATTCTGGGAGTTGTGGAACTTTTTTCTGTCTGAACAGGCATAGGTTTGCACCCTTAATAAGCTGCCACAAGAGTATCGCGACGTTCTGTAACCGTGGCAACTACAACAGTGTCTGCCTAGCGCTGGAAACCAGCGTCCTTAGCTACTGTTTTCCCGGGAAATCTCAGAAGATCACTAGTATCCCTGTTCTTTTGCCTCTCCCGCCATAAACTTCCGCTCTCCGCGTAACTAGTTAAATCTACCGTTCTGAATTTGAGAGTGGCGCTCCTTCCCCTTCTTCCCATTCAGCAAAAAATTATTTTCTGAAATCTCTTGCGCTTACAGTCGCTTTGGAAACGCAACGTAACAGTCAGGCGGCCTGGTATTTCCACCCGATTTTAAAACGAAGGGAAAGTGGATTAATTCTTGTTTAGCCGCATCAAGGTTAGATCCAGAGGACTATTCACAAAGGGAAAACCGCAACGCGTGCGCCGCCTTCCCACGCTTCACGAGACGGCCTTCCACGGGTAATCCTGATTTATAAATCACGCTTTAGCACACTCACGTGGTAGTCTTTATACCAAGTCTCCAACTTGTCCTGTAAAATCCTGCAGGTCTCGTTGCTGATTAATCTTCTCAGGCTATCAGCCATAGTTCCCAAACTACGACGAGACGGGGTGAATGGAGAATCTCAGCTTTGAGGCGAGGTTGCTTCTCTTCCAACGAAAGAATCAGCATCGATCTTTTTCTTCCCCGCGTTTTGTTTCTGCCACCCCAGGGTACCAAACCTCGGGGAAAGATGTACGGGGAAGTAACCTCAAATACTGGCAGCCTTGAACTAGGCTTAGCCTCCCCGCGCACTCACAAACCCTCCTCTATGATTGGATTGCTTTATACTCGGCGATTGTTAAACAAACTGACGTTTGCTTTGCTTGGATGCCAAGGACGCCACGGCTGCGTGAAGAGGGCTCTTTGGTTGTAGCAACGTCGAGAATAGCACCTCCCTTGGCCTTGCCCTGCCCTTGCATTCCTCCTCCTGCTCGCTAAACTTAGGGACCCGGGAGAGGAGCACTGGGCTGCAATGGGGGAATCGAGAGTGGGAGGCGGCGTCCCTCTCGGTTAACAAAATGACACTTGGAAAGACTTTCAGCGTGGGAGCTTGCTTAGGAATCGCTCGATTCCTCACATGGTCGCCCCTCGGATGCCGCCGCCTCCTCCTCTACCCGCAGTGACTCTTGGCTATTTCTTGTTACGGTTTTCAAGCTTGAGACGCCGCGAGCCAACAAAACGGCCTTTATTACGCACCGGGGATGCAGCTTTTTGGGAGAATTGCTGGGGATTTGCGTATTGCACACTTAAAAGGGCGCGATTAGCGCAAGCATGGGTACCAGGTTGCATACCCCTGAACCGTCTTCTAAATCTTGGCCTCCTCAAAAGTAGGTAGGTCTGATGATATTGGCCAAATATCTGTGACAACAGTTTATTCACCCTTCATATTTGGCGTGGCTCCTAGTTCCCCTAACCCTCCCCCACCTTAGGGGGGCATTTATCTCCCTATTAGCCATGAGCTTCTGCAAATGCTAATCAACATCGAACAAAGAGCGCTGAGAAAGCATTCAGGATAATAGGGGAAACCGTGTAAAAAATGTGAGCGAAATACTATCCTGAAAACGGCGAAACTGCATAACACACCCCTTTCAGCTATACTTTCTCGCGCGTTATTCGTTTAGTATTTGCAAACAAGAACCGTTTTAAAATATGCTTTCTAAATGGACTCCCCTCCTTTTTCTCTCTTCTTTATGTCTACACTGCTTCGATCGCGACCAAACAGGCAGCTCTGACGGTGACCACCGAGAATGGGGACTTGGCTTCCCTCCCCTCCTCTCCATCATGCTAGTACCTAAGGAATGGGCATGACGGGTGGGGAGCGAAGGAGGAGGATCCCGTACCAGCTCTTTTTTCTCCCTGAGAGACTCGCTGCACAGACTCGCTCGCCCTTCTGGGTAGGGAGGGGAAGAACCCGAAGATGGCGGTGACCGCGGCGGCAGCGACTGCCTCGGAACAGGTCGGAAGCTGTTCGGGCCCGCAGTTTTACGCGCAACACGGGGGGGGGGGAGGAAGGCGAGGGCGGCGTGGGGCAGTCTGTTGGGTTCCCATTTCCGTGCGGGGAGGTGCAGGCTCTGTCGGCGCGTCTGCGGCGCCTCGACTTCTGCAACAAGGAGGCTGGGCAGAAGGGCCGAGACACTGGAGGCGCCCAGCAGAGAGCTATTCACGCGCGCTGGCGAAAGGCGCCTTTCTCCGGGCTGGGGACGAGTCCTTCCCGCTGTTAATCCGCCCTTTCCCCCGCTGGCGGCGCCTTTGTTTTCGAGGCGTTTCTCGCGCGTGGCCGCCCGCGCGCACCCTATTTCTGTGGATTTCTTGCCTGCTGCAATTTAGTGACCAGCCCCTGTCGCTTATAAGCCGCCTAATCAGCTGGCTTCTTGGCTTGTGTCCCGTGTGCCGCACCCGGGGAGTGTACTGGGACCTCCCCGCAAGGCGCAGGATTGCAGTCCTCGTGCCTGAAAATCCAAAATAGCAATGCCACACCCAGAAATACAGAAATATACTGCGGGCACTATGGCGCTGTAGCGCCTGCGCGCGGAGGGTCTTCAGAAAAGTACTCGGCGGAGGGCGCCTTCCTGCCGGCCCCCATCAGCCCGTGGCCTTCGCCCAAGCCCTTGGCAAGAGAATCAGGCAGAAATGCGAAAAGTCGGGCGTGAGGTCGTATCATACCGATATGGAGACGGCAGAGGTTGCGGCGGGGCGGGGGACCCGAGCACGCTGTACGTCGTTACACTACAACACCTATCACCCTCGATCAGCAGCCCCGCTGGCTGGAACTAGTGAAAGCTGAAGCCCTAGACTCACGAGTTATATTTCTGATATATGGGGGTTTAAGGGTAGTGTGGGAAGAAGGGAAGCATAAGCACTGACTTGCATGTGATCCTTTTGCAGACTCCTGTAAAACGTGATGCTCAATGCAACTGGTTATCCTTGTGTTTTCATGGTCCTCAGAGGACTAAACTTGAAAAAGCAAAGAAAATGCAACTGCATTCATAGTTGAGTCAGCCAAGCATTTTAAAGTTTAAGGAGCAGTTTAGTGTTTGTTGGTTCGGCTCATCCCTTTAATGTGGCTTTTCCTCCCAAAGTATTGACAGGCACTGTATAATTAGGCCAGGGAGGGAATTTTTAACTCTCCAGAAACCATCAGTCCCACTTAGCATGGTCAATGATTGATATAGCCCAACAGCCGGAGGGCTACAATCTCACCACCACTGAATTAGGCTCTCACCTCTTTTCACCTTATATTTGCTTGAATGCTTTCCCCTGAATGTCCCTTATGTACACTACAGACATTATTAGTTGGTAAGAGAGATGCTTGCTGTTCTAATCATGTGGTATGCTCTGTGTGAATATACATAGTTAGGGTGCAAGGATATATAAACAAATTCCTACAACTCTCAGCATTCCCCAGCCAGCATGAAAGTTGTAGGAATTTTTTTCCCTGTCTGAACTTGCATAGGATTCCTTCTCTAATATATTATGTTAAAAACAGTTGCTAAAGTGGAATTACATGAATGCCAGGCCAATGCCCTACATAGTCCTGCACATCTGGGGTGTAGATCCTGTCCTATAGTGTGCGTATACAACAAAACAAAGGTAGACACCTGCTTTTTCATACATGGAAATAAGAGGGAAATTATACTTGTGGAATCTTCCTCCACTGTAGCCCCTTTTCCCCAGAAAGCAAGTGCTTTTGCAACAGATTCTCTTATTTCAGGTAGACATATTTTAATAACTTTACAAATACATGCTTTTTCTCTTCTACTTGGGTTTCCAATAGTATTTACTGTGACAATAATCATGTGCTAGAAATGAAAAATCATATTTTGTTGTAATATATTAACTTATACTTTCGGTGAATTTTTTAGCAAAGCTCTAACGGTCCTGTGAAGAAATCAATGCGTGAGAAGGCTGTAGAGCGGAGGAATATTAACAAAGAGCACAACAGCAACTTCAAGGCTGGGTATATTCCAATTGATGAAGATCGTCTGCACAAAACTGGTTTGCGAGGCAGGAAAGGCAATTTGGCTATTTGTGTGATTGTTCTCCTTTTTATTTTGGCTGTCATCAATTTGATTGTAAGTATGACAAGATACAGAAGGCATTTGATTGTGCTGAAATTGTTACTATATAGTAGGCAGAAATTGAAAATATTTTTCTAATAAGCATGCCTCTGATGACAGTAAACCAGATTATTAAGGAAACATAAACATTCCTTAAAATAAATATGCTGAAAAGCTGTGATAGATCACATAAATAACCCACAGTAGGAAATACATTTTACAGTGCATCTTAGTAGCTTAGTCATCTGTTCAAAGTTAAGATGGTCTTGCTAAAGGTAAGAATATTTACGCTCTGTAAAATATTCATATTTGTGGGGCAGAATCCAACAGGGCATTTATTCTGATTCTCTTGTACCTTCTGTTGTACACGTAGTATGTCCTGCCAATTTGTTGCACTAGTGGGACTCAACTCTTGTGCAACAAAGATTTAGTTATTCGCAGAGTGAGCCCTGAAATGAGGAGAAACGCTCATTTCTCAGCTGAACTCCCTTGTGATCTGAACTTCCTTGTGAGCGCTTCACCTACCCTGTTTTCCCCTCTCTGGTTGCCTTGAAAGTGCTAAAATTTGATGGATGGGAATTCATGGGGTATAAGAAAACTGGCAAGAGTTGTCAACCCATTAGATTTTGCCCAAATAATTTTATCCTTCTATTTTCACCTCTTAAACTAGACAGTGGACAATCTGTGGTCCTCACTTGCATCCCATGTGGTCCCCAGCACCTCTGGCAGACTTTGTGTCCCCACTCAAGCAAGGAAGCTTTTGAAAGTGTGGTTGACGCTGGATCCACACTTCAGAAGACATCTAGGTTTCTGAAAGAATAGATGTGTCTGTGACAGTGAAAGGAACAGGAAACAGTATGTGGTAGTCATGAGCTTGAGCCAGGGAAGGTACTTCTTCCTCTACCCACTGTTGGCATACAGACTCTTCAAATCGCCTTGAAGGCAGGGAGTAGGAGTGTGTGGTCCTACAGGTATTGTCAGCCCTAGTCAGCACAGCCAATGGTAATGTATGATTGGAATTGCAATCCAGCAACATCTGAAGGGTCAACCATTCACCATCTTTTTCCTCCAAGAAAATTCAGCCCTTGAAAAGGCTTGTCCTCTCTTGCCTTAAATTGATTGTTAATCATTTTTGTCACAACAGGCATTTAGTTATAGAGAAACAGGATGGTTTGAAATAATTAAAGTGTTGTTTCTAAGTATTTACAGTGGGTGTCTCTCACTATTGACTGTTGTTCATGTGACTTTTAAACCAAAACATCTGGAGGGCCAAATATTGTGCATTGCTGATTTATAGCCTAATTTTATACATGTGTAATTCAAAATAAATTCCAATTGTTTCAGTGAGGAGCCTTAAATTTGCAAATTTTGTTTCATACCCATGGGAATGCTTCTTAAGAGTCATTCAGTCTTTATGTGAGGGCTGCATATTTCATGACTCAGCCAGCTGAACAGGTGCTTGATAACCTGCATTGTTTTGTTTGTTTGCTTGTTTTGCAGCTCCAAGCTGGTCTGAAAAACAGGAAGTTTTCTGAAACTTTACGGCAGCCTTCCCTAACCTTGTGCTCTCCAGATGTGCTGAAATGCAGCTTCTAGAATCCCTAATTGCAGTCCAGTACATCTGGAGAACACCAGATTTGGGAAGGTTACTCTAGGAGACTGTCCTAACTAGCAGGGGGCATTCAGGTTGATTGTGTGAGCCAAATATAAGAGTGCTTTTCTTAAAGTGTTTTAGTTCAAGTATGAATTCAATTTGCGAATGGCATTAACATTTCAGAATGATGAAACTGTATTTGATTTACTTTTTTAGATCACGTTTATCATCTGGGCTGTGATCCGTATTGGGCCCAATGGATGCGACAGCATGGAATTTCATGATAGTGGCTTATTGCGATTTAAACAAGACTCGGATATGGGCATTATTCATCCACTGTATAAGAGCACAGTGGGAGGTCGGCGTAATGAGGATTTGGTGATTGTTGGAGAAAACCAACCAGTAAGTATGCACTCCCTCATGTGTTTTATTCATCATCTTGGATTCTGCTGCATATAACCTTATTGGGTGAAGTTTTCTGGGAGCTTGCCAAGGCCTTCTCAGTGCTGGCACATGCATCATAGGATGCCCTGCTGAAGGAGGATCACCTAATTCCAACAGGGTATACATGCAAATATTAGTGAAAACCTGGTGTGTGTTGGTCTCTGCAATTGTTTGAAGCTGTTTTGTGGATTGTGTTTTGTTTTTGTGTTACTGGATACTACTATTTTCCTGGCTGTTAGAAAACTTTTTATTATGCAGCTGGTTTATTGTAAGTTATCTTGTGTTTACTTAACAAGAAAATTAGGGTATACAATTGCTAAATATATAAAAGTAGAAAATCAGCTGCTTGCTGATGTGAAACAGCTCTACCAACCAGACACCTCAATAGTAGTAAATTGCCTTTATTACATTAAACACATCATATCTATTTTGTTTCTGAAGATTGTGTTTCAGCAAGGGGAAACAAGACTCAGCGTTGAAAAGAATAAAACTTCAATTACCAGTGATATTGGTATGGAATTTGTTGACCCGCGGACTCAGAACACTTTGTTCAGCACTGACTATAATACTCACGAATTTCACTTGCCAAGTGGAGTAAAAATTTTGAATGTACTAAAAGCATCTACTGAGAGGGTATGAACTATCTATGAACTTTAATTTCCACCTCCAAATTCTATAACATATGGCATAGCTTTACACTCATCATTCTGCTTTTGGCTAGGCTCATTGTAAATTCTGTTTGTAGCTAGGATCCTAAATTTGAAGAATCCTATGACTAACAAATCCCTGCATTTGTTCACACTCTGCACACAGAATAGCAGCCTAAAATGTATTTGCATACTGTAACCATGCCAGCATGGCAGTTAGCCACTACATAGATCCCTGGGAATGACACTTTTATTTACTTACAGAGCAATCCTCTGGCCCCTGGGTGAGCATCCCTGTACCTGGTTGGTTCAGGAAGCCCCTTCTGAGGTCAGAGACAGTGCTGTCCCCTTGGAGCCTTCACAGGGAGAGGACTGCACTGTTTCTCCAAGGCTATAATATTGGCCAAGTAAGAGAAAATGGGCATTCCAGTAGGCTGGGAGGTGAGTTATCTTGGCCTCTTCCAACCTCCCAGCTTTCTCCTCTGATGCACTATCATCCAACAAGATGAAAGACCTAGCTAGCAAATATATAGAAGATTCGGTGAATGGGGAGGCAAAAAAAGTTTATAGAGCTTTGGAAGAAGCAGAAGAGGTGATGTTTATCACTGCCATTTCCTGCTCTGCATTTTCTAGTAACACTGTTTTGGAGGGTGATGGGAGGAGGCTAGAGAAGTTTGTATCCTGGGCTCTTCAGTCTCCTCTCCTTCCTCCAAACAGCCCTCCTTCTATGCCTCTCCAAGGTTGCTTTCCCAATGTTACTTCTATAGTTAATAAATTCAGACATTGTCTGACACTGAAGTTGGAAATGTGAACTATTTCCCTAAGACAAGGTCTCAGACCATAGCTTTATCCCTTTAGGTTTTTGCTTTTTTAGTAACGAATCCCATTTTAGTAAATACATTTTTCAACCATGATCTTTCTTTTCAGATTACCAGCAACGCTACCAGCGATCTAAATATAAAGGTTGATGGGCGCGCTATTGTCCGGGGAAATGAAGGTGTTTTCATCATGGGCAAAACCATTGAGTTTCTTATGGGAGGCAACATGGAATTAAAAGCAGTGAGTAATGCCTGGATTTTCAGTTATTTGTAGGTCTGCAACATGACTAAACAAATGTCAGTCAATTAATCAGAAATTAGGTTATTAATGTACTAATGTATGAATTTAGTTAATATACTAATCCATGATTTTATTTTGCATATTTACATTTTGCCTTTGTGAATCTCAGATTAGCTTTGGCATCTCTGCTTACACATGAACACCTTCCAGTTTAAACTCTGTATTTCTATTTTGCAGTTAAACATGACTATTAAATGTACATACATATACGTGTACTTATATTCAAACAAAAAAAATTATTGGAACATTCATGTTTCAAAGCTAAAACAGAAGAACTTGTTTTCCTGGAAATATAAAAGAAGAAATGTTCTTTTTAAAGGTTGATATCATGTTTTCAACAGTGGCCAGCTTTATTAGTAGTATTATTAATTGGATCTGAGAGCTGCTCATTAGCATCACACTGGGTAGCTATTACAATAAAATAGCAATATTGAGTAAAATGATAAAATTATATCACAAATAAAACAAGATAAAATCAAAATAAATAGTCAGGTGCTCAGGGGTCACATTAATTAAATGAAACTCTTCCCACTTTATTAACATAACTGCATGCTTTGATCATCAAAGAGTTATAGAGAGTTGCCTAAAAATGGTTGATCAGATGCAGTACATATTAATTAATACACTCCTGAGCATCTCCTCAAGTATTCATTGTACGAAGGTATGATCCAAACATTTTCCAAATGAATAATTTGAAATAATAAAAGAGGAATTTGTTGATGCTATAACACCAAGACTGTAAAACTCAGACACCTGAAACTTGGCATGCATACATGCAAAGAGGACCCTACAGTATGCATCTAAGGGTTGTTTTGTTTTTAGTTATATTACTTTTACTCTAAATGTGGCCATGTTTGAAATCTGCAGTACTAACTGCAGCCACCAACTTCAGAACCCCCAAACATTGCAATGTTTTGCAGTCATTACTTTGAAGCCAAGAGTGCTTTGAGCCCCAGAGATGTTGCTTCCCCAGCTGCTTTGGGGAAGCCCACTCTTTAGGGCGATGGAGCAGACGGACACTTCCCTTGGGAGACTACAGGAATGCACTCTGTCTGGAAATTAAGGGCCACACCATCTCATCCAAAGCCAGGTCCATCTGCTAGTGGTAAAAAAGCAATGAGGAGAGGGTGTGTAATAAGCTTCACCTTGCATGGCTTTTCAATCTATCACCAGTCTATATTTTCACTGCCCTTAAGTGAGGTGCAACTATACCAACCCCCATTCAAAAAACAGATGCTCTCTTTAAATGGGGGAGAGTGTTCCACTCATGTCTGGCAACTATTTTTTGGATAAAGAGCCTTGCAGAGTGAAGAATGGTACAGCATCAGTCATGGTGCAAGTCCTCCAAAAAGAGCGATGGGAGTGGGGTGGGCATGGGTAATTGTCCTGATTAATTAAGGACATATTCTTGCTGAAGAAAAATCATATGAATAGACTAATTGGATTAATGATTCTTGCAGCTATTCATTTATTTTAAAATCTTTATATCCCAACTTTCCACAGTGTTAGGCAGCTCAGAATGATTTGTTCTTTAAAACTGACAGAAACACAAATCCTATAAAGGTTCTAACTGTATCCAAAACCTCATTAAATCTCAGTGGCCCAAAGTCCTTTAGTACAGGAACTTTTAGTACAGCTTGAAAAATGAATAACAGAAAGAACCATTCTGAGTGTCATCAGCATGTAATGTTTAGGGACCACCCAGAGAGGTTTGGCTCTTCAGTGGTACAGAAACAAAACAGATATAATGAAATTTAATCAGGGCAGCTTTGGAGAGCCTTGGGACAAATGAAGGTCCATTCATCTCCCACAAATGACCTCTTTACACAGAGTATTTTTGCAGTTTGGCTAAATGAAAATGTAACACTGTTACAGTATGTTCACAGTAATAATCAGTATTGGTGACTTGTATTGAAGTCAAGCCTCACTTTAGTACAGAACTGCAGTGCAAGTAACAGAGTGCAGGGAGAAAAAGAATGGGACAACTCCTCTTCCTTACCTATCCTTACCTATCCTAAAAGCTCAAGAAGTGGACCACCAAGAGAAACAGGTGAGGAAGGTGACATGCCAGCATCATAGGAGGGTTAAGAGAGACACAGATAGATCCGATTGCAAGTCCAATTAATTGAAGCATTAGTACTAATGAACAAAGCTTTCTAGTCCTTGTCACTTCTTTGTGTATTCAAGTAATAAGTTGCTCCAGCCTTTAAACTTAGAAAAAAAATGCCATAAAAATTCACATGCACCTATGTCTTTCAAATAATGCATATTTTAACATATTTTCATACTTTTTATTGGAGCTATGTTGGAATATTCAAGAAGTGGGAAACTAGTTGGCATCTGAATTCTGTAGATTTTTCCAGTTTGTATCAGAGCTGACAAAGATCAAATTCCCCATCATTAGTTTTAACAAGCAGAGATCATTATGCAATGGTATAATATCTGAGTAGCCTTCATAGTCAATAAAAGAGTAGGAAAAGCAGTACTGGGATACAGTCTCCAAAATGACAGAATGATCTCAGTTCGAATCCAAGGAAAACCATTCAAAATCACAGTAGTCCAAGTCTATGCCCCAACCACTGGTGCTGAAGAAGCTGAAGTTGACCAGTTCTAAGAAGGCCCACAACACCTTCTAGACTTAACACCAAAAAATGATGTCCTTATCATCA